GTGGTTGCGACAAAAAATTGTCGTTATATTTTTTTACGCCGATTTCTCGTTTCATTTCAATTTTTAAGTGTTAGTTAGTTCTCTAGCGAGCATCGCTTACAGATGAGTATATCTTAAGATATTGTCATCTGCAAACAATACCCGATAGGGAACTAACGAACATTTAATAATCCAAATGAAACAAGAAACGGGAGGAAAATAAGCATAACGAGTTTTTTGTCATGATTACACATGAGAAGATGAGAAACATTTGCAGTTTTCTAAAAGAATTCTGACTATTTATCGCTGAAATTTCGGTAGTATATAGAATAACAGCAGATGTATTAAAAATGTAAATTTGAGATCGAATTACACTAGTACGGCGAAGAAATCTAAAAAGTAAGGTGTTCCACCTATTTTGACCAATGGAAATTGAATACTGTTGACATCACTATTTGTGGAAGGTCTCTCTAATTGTTTTCTAGAAAAAATTGATGAGCTCAATGTTCAAATACTCAGTTTTTCAAGGGGAGAAAGCAGATTTTAGCATCCAAAATCTTTTGAATCAGACTTAAGAAAGCTGTTTTTCAGCTATTGTAAAGACAACCCATAGTGTTGTTCGGGTAATATGAAAGAGCACGCTGGATAACCCTATGACTGACCTGAGCAACCCTATCTCTTCTCTGAGCCCTAAAGGAAAAAACGTGCTCAAATTTGATTGGTAGATAGCTTTTTTCTATCGACCGATCAGATTCGAGAAAGCTATATCTCAGCTATTTTAAGAGCAAACCATACCGATGTTCGGGTCAAATGAAAGAGAACCTTCGATAACCCTATGATTGGCTCGAACAACTCTATGTTTTGTTCTAACAATAGAGGACAAAAATCCTGACGGAATCTGATTGATTTATAGCTTTTTATTTATCAACCAATAAGATTTCAGCAGCGTTTTTCCCTTCTATTGTTAGGAAAAAATATACGGCTGTTCGGGCCAACCTGAGAGTTATCTGGGGTCCTGTTTCATTTGACCCGAACATCGGTATCGTTGGCCCTTACAATAGCTGAGAAACAGCTTGCTCAAATCTTATTGGTCAATACTTGAGATGTAGAGATCACGCTCATGAGCGCCCATGTCAGGGCTTCCGAGCTTGACCTAACAGCTCTAATAAGTACAAGCGAAAACAGTGCGATTCTTATGAATAACTCGCATATTAGCAGTACAGAAGAAACGCTCAGGCTCATATGAGTGTGCTTAATTTTCATGGAACTGGAATCACTTGAAATCTCCCAAAATATTCTAAAATCGTTTACACTCTTAAAATCCCCTTTTTTCCCCTTGCATTTTTCTAATGAAATATGTATCAGAGTTCTAACATAGGGCAAGACAAAGATGGTATTTTTTTTCTTGATTCATTCCAATTCTCTTATTGATTCTGTGGTCGTCTCTTCACCAATAGACTTTCGCCGATCAGTAAGTCATACTGTGCGAAACTCGAATCCAAAGTTCTCTATATTTGTCAAGCCGCCTGTGAATTTAATATCTTCTCATCAATCATGACCATCTTTTGAGTTTAATATCAAGAAATATGATACTATTGTCAGGGAAAAAATAATAGACGAGTAGCCATTTTTTGAATAACTTTTGATAGAAACAATATAGTATAAGTATCTTTGAATGAACACTTTTTTCTTTGAGTATTTTTATCAATTTTCACAAGAATCTCAACTCAAATTATGTCAAAATGTAGCTGAAATCACTCATTTTTCGCTATAAATTAACATTTGTTTTCCTTAAATCGGCTTAGAACAAGTGATTGTGAGATGATGAAATGTGAGATAATTTTATAGCAGAAAACGGATGATCTGGACTACATTTTGACATAATTTGAGTTGATATGATTGTGAAAGTCGATCAAAATATTCAAAGGAAAAACTGTTCATTCAAAGGTACCTATAAAGAAGCATCTTTCGGCTTAATGTGTTCTATACTGATCGATGGTCCAGACATCGCTCTTTCAAATGGTGAAAATCGCAGCTCTCAATCTTGTTCCTATCAAAAATTATTCAAAAAATGGGCACTCGTCTTGTTTTTTTCGGACAATAGGAATCTGGATTATCATGTGTTGAATTTGGCCGATACGAAATATAATGAATTCGATCGTTTGGCTAAAATCTTAGCAAGAGCTTTCCATAGCCGATGTACCTGGCAAATATTTTCTATTGGTTGACGAGCCATGCTAATGCCCATACTGAAAGTATATGAACTCACCGTCTATGGTCGAGCAAATGAATAGAATCTAATGGTTATGATTATTCATATGTTAGTGAAATGGAAAATATTATTCCAAGTTAGAAAAATTTTTGAGCCTTATTAAATAGCTTTCTGCAGTGAGAAACTTACTCTTTGCTTCTACTCGCGTCGTCGCAGCACGGCAAAGTACACCTGCGATGAAACAAATGAAAAAAAATCAAAGCATCAATCATATAATGTACATGCACACTGTTTTGATGATTGTCAAGGACTTTGTTTTTCCATTAGCGTTATTGTTCACACACGAAAAAGCCAAAACAAGAGTGAGGAACGGCGGCAATACTGCACATTTGTCGATGTTTACAATCAATTAGTTGAAATGATGAAACTAAACGAACACATATTCAACCACATTCGTTCTTGCATGCAACGAGCGTTTTCGCGAGGAGACGTTATTTTTGAGATAGAAAATTCAATATTTCGGAGAGCAATTTTCGTTTTTACATGCCTTTCTGCTATGCCTAGTATATAAATGTACGAGAAGTTTGAGAACAAACTATTCTTTCCAAAATTATGTTGCATCAACAAAAATTGAAAATGATCGATCATTACCGCATCTTGCTGCATTTATCAATAAACCTCCATTTGCCAAACGCCATTCTATTTTCTGCAAAACATACATCAATGGTTTACTCTTGAAAATGTGAACTTGCAAAACGTACCCGCATTTCACACAAAGAAATAGGGCAATCAAATTTTTTGGAATAAATTCACCCATTTCGAGGATACGTCGTTTACTTTCGTTGAAACTCTTCGAGTCTTGTAATAACTGTACGGTTCATTTTCAGACAAGAAGACATGTGTTATCACAAAGAACATGACTCGCTTAGTCTAATGTGATAAATTATCCTCAAGTAACTGTAGGGGTGTGGCTATCGGTTTTGGTTCTATTCAACAAATACCTACATTGATCCACAGGCTCACACCCACATCCTGCATGAGTAGTAAAGGTCGTCGCCAAAATTTTAGTTAACACATATATTTCATCGATGAGCCGATATTTGGCCTCGATCTTTCGAATTCGATTGTACTCGTTGGATATGAGATTCTGTAACAAGTCTCAAATCAAGATTCACTCATCCGTTCTGTAATTTACTATTTGCAGCCTGATCACGCAATTGTATTGGTCAGAACTTTGCACTGATTGAAGCCGAAGTTATACTAGCATTACTAGTTCAACGATGCAACTTTGAGATGGAATCCGGTCAGAAGATTATACCTGACATTCGCATTATCATGCAATTCCAATATGGATTACGAACAAGAATTTCTAAGCGATTACAAAATACTTTTTCTCGAAATTAAAATTTTCTTAGTAGTATAGTATCACTTGATTTTTTTTCACAAAACTCATCTTGGCCAAATAGATAAACTTTTACATCAAGTTTGTCAAAAATATAAGTCAAGACTAAAAAGTACTTTCTGGTCACTCCGCTATTGTTTCTCTCCAATGTGATGCTATTTTCAAAAGAAAAACAATCGAATTGTACCTGAAATAAAGATCGAAAATGTATTCATATTGATATCAGCTTCGTCTAAACTGTAGCACAATTGAGTATTTCATTTTACGATCGTTCATAGGTTTCATTGAATGATAATCCTATCAAGTGTCATTCAATGAGAAAGGACTGCCAGGCTATTTTTTAGAGGCTTCTGCTTCATTTTTGACATGTAAAGTTGAATTTTCTATAAGTAAAAGATTAAATATTNTTCATATAACGAATAAGACAAATTATATATAAACTAACGACATCTATAAATTATATATATATATATCTTTGTATTTATTAAATAAATCGAAAAAACGAAAAATTTTATTTTCTAAATCTTATTCTATTTTTCTCTTACAAATCATAATATTAATACGAATTAATATTCATGTATGCGTACTTAATCATGTAATTTACTTATCCGCAAAGAGATGCTTGCAAAATGCTGACAACAAATAGTGATTTGTGAAAATACATGCGTTCTCTTACTCAAGATTCCTGTTTATCCTGCAGGTCAGAATTTTTCTTCTGTCATTGTTGGTATAAGATATGCCATAAGTAAATGACGATGCGTAGATAAAGAACGATTTCATATTTTAAAAAGCGTGAGAAATACAGACATTTGTTATCCGCTGCTACTAACAACACAAAGCGAGGCTAAGAATGCTACAATATCTAATGTGCTTATTTGCGTAAGTGTTAAAGATAAATATGAATTTAAAACTTCAACGTTTCATCCATCTTATCACGAGTGTAAAAAGGCTTGGGCCAAAAAAATGAACCATCATACCTGTCAATCGATTTTTAAACATTCGTAAGAAATGCTGAATATTCTTTATTGTTTTTAGAATATTTGCTGCAAATATCGGCAAGTGCATGACATCATTTTAAAACTGTGAACTAATTTCTTTCTAATGTGTCTCTTTTTTCTCAGGTCAACCAGTCTATAAGCAATCCAGCGATTGTAAGTGTAAATAAACTTTATAAATCATGATGCCGTTAAATATTTTAAACCTTCATCTAACCTTCATTCCTAATATCTGTAGTTAATATTGATCTAAAGTTTCAGTTACATTATAGCAAAAAATTTATTAAACCGTCTGTCATACAAATTGACAGTTACAATATCAGTTCATTTAAAAAGAGAAATAAACTCAAATATTTTGATTTAATTCGTAGGTCCAGGTAATCTTAAATGGAGCACAACAGGAACGACAGTCATGGGGAATGGTTACGGTTCAGATCCAGATCAATTAAAATATGCTGACGGTATATTTATTGAACCTAAAACACAAATTTTATATGTTGCTGATGCTGCCAATAATCGTGTTCAAAAACGTTATCCAAATGGTAAAATTAAAACAGCGGCCGGGAGACCAGATGGCGCAGGTGGATCAACATTAGACAAACTAACGAGTCCTTCAGGTGTTTTTGCAGATGAAAATGAAAATGTTTATGTTGCTGATTTACATAATCAACGAATTCAATTTTGGCAAAAAGATGCCAAAAGTGGTAAAACAGTTGCGGGTAATGGAACTACCGGGTCAGCGTTAAATGAATTTAATTCTCCGATTCGAGTTTTGCTTGATTCAAAGAAAAATATCATCGTGGTCGATTTGCAAAATCAACGTGTAACACAATGGTCATTACCATATGATCCAACAAAATCTGTTGGCACACTCTTAGCTGTATGTATTGATTTTATTTTCGTTGAACGAGATCCTATCCTATATTTTGAAGTGATAAAAAAGAAACACATCTAACTTTTACATTGTCTGAACTGCACTGGATTAAAAATGTCTTATACTCAATTTAGAAATGATGAGGCATAGCTGAGTGGTTGACTAAAAAACGGTATTATTAAAAGGATTACTACAGTTTATTGATATGAGATGTTCTCCTTTCAATTATCTTACGATATTTCCTGTTCCGATACCAAGCCTTTTCTAAAATATTTGAATGAAGATCAAACAGATTGAGTTTTACATAAAATGGCAATCGTTTTATATATTGCTATATTTTGATTGGTTAATTCTTCGTTTTTACTCTAGGGTGGTAATGGTGCAGGCCTTAATCCATATCAGTTAAATTTTCCAGTTGGATTATATTTCGATGAACCAAATAATATGTTATACATAGCAAACGATGCATCCCATTCAGTAACGCAATGGGAACTTGGAACTTATGGTACTAAGTCCATATATGCAGGTATTCCAGGCAGACCTGGTAGTTCTGCAGCTCAATTAAACAGTCCCGAAGGCATAACTTTTGATAAGTATGGTAATTTATATATCGCTGATTGTATGAATAATCGAATCCAAATGTATTGCCCCAATGCTGTATATGGTATCACAATTGCGGGTACTGGACAAATGGGTAATGGAAGTAATGAATTTTATTTCCCCCGTGATGTAGCATTTGATTCAGAACTCAATTTATATGTTACAGATACATATAATTTTCGCATACAAAAATTTGAAAGAATAAAATAAAAAAAAGTTAATTATTGGTCGATATATTGTCCATTTCTTCTATATACTTAGGTCGTACAAAAAGTTCTAATAACATTAAACAGTAATATAAAGATAATGAGATATTTTCAATTTTATTTTATCAAATGTTGAGGATAGTTGCTATGATTATTTATATCAAGGTCAATCCTTTCTAACAATTTATTAAAAGTCCTTTTTGGCCTCTTTTCTTAAAAAATTTTAGCTACCTTGGAAACCACATGAGCTAGTCATGTTTCATTTATTTAATCACTTAAANCACATATCCAAAATATGTTTTTTTCTTCTTCTGAGCTGATAAATATATTAAAAAAGTTTCAAATGATTTGCCCAATTAAAATAGAAAAATACACTATAATCGTAATCTTCTCTCACAGACACGTCAAAACAAACAACAAAAAATAATGCAAAATTCTTTTTTTACAAAAGAAAGAATTAAAGTTAAACTCTATAACGACCACGATTGACAAGTTGTAGAGCTGGATTTTGCTATAAAACAGAAAAAAAAAGATTTAGTTTTAATAAAATAAATTTATATATATTAAACTTACCATTTTCATCATTTCTTCTTTAATTAATCGAGTAATTTCTTCTTTAGCCAATTGAAGACCATATGCAGTAGATGATTCAATATGTAAATAAAGTTTTCGATCACCTTGTGTAACTTCTTTATTATTTGGAAAATATTGACCATGAACAGATATATCAACATCAGCATATTCACATATATGTGTTCGTGTTTCCTATTTTGAAAAAAATAATAAAAATATTCTGTATTCTCAATAAATATGTTTTACTTTGCTTAAAATTTTCGATCGAGCATTTTGTGGAAAATCATTTATTTCTAATTCTTCTTCAAATATTTTGAATACATTTTCAGTTACTTGTATTTCTTCTTCGGGTTTTTGATAATTTAATTTTCGATTTAGTTCATTGGCTCGTTGTTGTGCTACAACACGACTCTAAAAAAAAACGAGAAACCGACATATTCTATAATAAATATTCGAATAGTTTATGAAATACTTACGGATATACCTGGATTTAATGTACCACCATCTTGAAATAATGAAATTGTTGCTTCTTGTATAGAATCTCGAGTTTCACATTTGGCCAATGTAAGCCTTAAAACAAAATCGAAATTTATTATTTTTTATTTGTTCAAACGTGAATACAATTGCATAGAAAGAAAAAGAATTAATCAATAGTTTTCCATGGATTTATCAGTGAGTTAGTATGAAAGCAATTAGAGATGTACACAGCAAGTTTGTTTTTTTTTCGTATAGTGTATATTAACTGAGAAAATTTTTCATACACGCGAACCCGATCGAATCGTACTGTGATATTCTTTCAGAAGATTTTGAATAGGAATCGCAAAGTCATGTTTTTGAAAATACGAAATAGTTATTTTCGTTTTGTTTAGTTGGTTGTTGTTCAAAGAGAAATATGTTGGTTGTTTAGAGAGGTTGAGTGAGGGAAATTCAAGATCTGATGTTTGATGGTCAATTGATGTGTAAATAAATCTTTTTTTCTTCGAACAATATATCATTATCTAATATATTTATCTTTGAGAGATCAAACAGACATGAACAACTACAGTATAATATTTCTTCGTGATGATTTATGAAAACTTGAACAAAAAAAGGAAAAAGACTATTTTTCAAGACATGTCTTATTTAACCAATTAATAATGAACCAACAAACAAGCCAGTTATAACCGTGAGTTGACTTTTATGTTTGTCATCGGAAAACTTATAAACGAATTGGAAAAAAGGCTCATTGTAATATAAGTATTACAGAAAAGGCAAGCGTAAAAAAAGTGGAAAAGAGCTGAAAGAAGATTTACTTTTTTGATTTGTTGTCAATTTTAAATAAAAATAACTAGTGCAACCAAAAACTTCCATAAAATTAAAATGAAAGTATTCCACCTGAAAATTCGATCTTGAATTAGATATATTTATTTATATGACATGAAATTTTTCAATTCTCTACTGTAACACTTTCAAGATATATGCAACAAACAAGGATAAAAAGCAATTCATTTGTAAGGGGAGAAACGTTCAATGGATCGAAAATGTCACTCTACGTATAAAGGTACTTTTTTAAATAATAGTATCAATGTTTAATTCAAACAAAAAAACGTAGGATTGTTTTTTTTTGGCAAAGTAACGATTTTATATGTAAAGTTTGATTAAATATCTCTGAGTTGAAAGCTACTCGATTGAGAAATCAATTACAGATTCGGATTCTTCGATCCACATCCTTTCAGAGCTGGAACCGGTAAGAAATTTTGAAAACGGTCCGGTCCGGCCGGAAAACGGCCGTTTATAAGTTGTTCTTGAACCGGTGAATTTCCGGCAAACTGAATAGGTACTGATATGAATACAAGTAATGCTTCTGTGTTTTCGATGTAGATTGTTTAAAAAAAGTTCGGCTTTGAACTATGATTTTCAACGTATATTTCAGAGAACTATNTCAAAATTATTTGTTTTAAGGTTTTTGAAAATACCCTGTCCCGAGTAAAAAATCCAGTAAAACGACCATAACTCTTCACTAATATGCCATGGGAACGAACGCTTCTAGGGTTTTCTTAGTCTCACTGAGGCCTACCTGTAGCCAAAAGATGAAGCCGAAAGCTCGGAAACAGTTGTATATGCTCCCTCGTTAGTGAAAATTTCTAATCAGAATTGGATAATCGTTTCGAAGAAACAAGATACTTTTTTCTAGTTTTATGTATTCGGTGACTAGGACATCTAAAGAATTTCTTCGAAAACTAGAGTCCGTCAGATATGGGACCAATTTGACATGCTCTACCTTGCAGATCTCTGAAAAAAAATTGAACTTCAATTGTCATTTTATAAAGTTCAGACAATCTTTCCTTCTACGAACATATTTTCAAAGCTGCTTTTTGTTGTAGTATTACGATAGTTTTGAATAGTTTAAGAGCCTCTCAAAAATGGATTGTGCACTCGATACATTCGAATCGCATGGAATTTTGACAACACGTTGAGACTGTAATGAAGAGACTATACTAAAACTTTCAGATGCTATGTAACAAAGACGGGTTATAAATATCTCATTTGGCATTCTTTGTGGGCTTTCATTCTACTTCTTTTATATACTTACTTTTTAAGGGAAATATCTCGAAGGGTTCTCACAAAAAACGACATAATCGGTTAAAATGAAGTTAGTTACGAGAATTTTGGAATGTATGACCAAAAATGCATATTTTTTAAGATGATAACAAACAAAAATCATCAAATATTTTCTCATAAAAAGCAGGCGTCGGACTATCCTCCCATACGAAGAGCCATAGAACCCGTTAAGTTCAAATTAGAAACTAACTTTGATTTTGTAAGATCGAAATAAAAATTCACTTTTCAAAATTTGTTACAAGCTGAAATAATTATAGAAGTCTTTATATTATAGTGGAATCCCTAAACTTAAGATTTCCTGAAATTTTTAATTCAAATTATTGATGGCTTACAAAGAAATAACTCGAAGTAATTCGGAAAAACTTAACACAGTATCCAATCATGTTGCAAATTTGACTGTGATGTTTAAGTTTTACTGGAATTTCTAAGCAAAATTATTGCTTCGAGTTGTAACTAGAATCACATTAAATTCTTAACTAGACGAACTGATATTAGAAGTTTCGACGTAACATCCCTGAGATTTAGATGTTTCAAAAATCTAACTTTCGAGAATACTACGGCGAAAGCGTCTAAAAATTTTTAAACTAATTAATTTTGCTAGAAAAATCATATTTTTACATTACAATCAAATCGCAACATGATTTCATATTGTCTCAGACTTTTCTGATCTACAGATTTCCCACGGATGGCAACTACTTCTTCTAATATTCAAATTGAACATAAATAAATCAATATTTACCGAGCAGCTGCTTTCTTGGCTAATTCTAATTTTGCTGCTGTATCATTGACAGTAGTTGTACTACTAGCTTCTTCATTTTGAGTAGTTGATGCATTTGGTAAGACTGGTGCATCACCTTTAGCTTTAATTGATTTTTTACTCTTAAATAATGATTGAATTTGTTGATCGATCTAATATAAATAAAAAAAGAAAACATTATTTATATATTTAAAAATAAAAATATCCAAATATCTTATACATACATCTTGACTTTCTTCATCTTCATCCGAATCTCCTAAACCCATAACAACTTTTTGCATTTTTTTTTGTTCATCTTTTAATTGTGTTTCGGATGAATCAAATTTATAACCATGTCCACTAAAACCACCACCTGTTTTAACTTTTTTACCTAAAGCTTCCATTTTTTGAACATAACCATCCCATAATAATTTTAATTCTTCTGGTATAGGTGTATTAGATGTTTCTAATGCACGCATTATATCACCAGCATGACGTTCTTGTGCTGGTGTAAGAAATGTATAAGCATAACCTATTTTTCCTGCTCGACCTGTTCGTCCACAACGATGTACATAATCTTCATAATGATTTGGACAATCATAATTAATAACAAGAATTAAATCTTTAACATCTAAACCACGTGCAGCAACTGATGTTGCTATCATTAATGGCATATCACCACTTTTAAAATCTATTATTGTTGAATCACGATCATATTGATCAATACCACCATGTAATGACATACATGGATAGGAATTTCTCAATAAATTTTTCATTAATTCATCACAATGTTCTTGTTTATCAACAAATACAAGAACAGAACCTTGTGGTTGATATAAACCAAGTAACTCGAGTAATTTTAAATATTTTTGATCATCATCAAGAATAAGCTTTGAAAATAAAAATAAGAGAATTAGATTTTATTTTTATTCAGTTTTTTTATACTTACTACATTTTGCATTACATCTTTACAAACCATACTTCGACCGCCAACGGTAACTTCAATTGGTTTATAAAGAGTTTTACGTGCTAATGCTTCCATTTGTTTAGGAAATGTTGCTGAAAACATAACTGTTTGACGATCAGGTCGAATA